ACACACACAATGACGCCGAATGCAGAAGATCACAGGCCAGTGGGTAGAAAGTCTTTGGGTCCAGTATCATTGGAAACATCTCAGTGCTGGCAGGGGTCTCTCTGTGGCTTCTCCGGTTTCCGAGGTCTGGGTAAATCCATGTGGCTGTCTTCTACAATGTCTCCCAGGGAGTAGCAGAGAGAGAGAAGTGTCTTCCGCCTCCAAGAAGGAAGGACCAGATTTCCCAGAATTCTCAGGAGAAGGCCATGCCCACACAGAAGTCTCACTGGCTATCTCCAGATGACAGCCTAGACTCCACCCCTACACTCTTAATCCTTAAACTGACACCAGATTAGGTGACTACCACATGCATACTTGTGTTTTACTCCCTATAACCAAGGCACTCGACTGTGTGGATCATAGCAAACTATGTATAACCTTGAGAAGAATGGGAATTCCAGAACAATGCATCATGCTCATGCAGAACCTGTACATGGACCAAGAGGTACTTGTGTGAAGGGAATGGTTTAAAATCAGAAGAGGTGTGTGTCAGGGTTGTATCTCTCACCGTATTTATTCAATCTGTATGCTGAACAAATCATCAAAGAAGGTGACTTATATGAAGAAGAGTGTGGCATCAGGATTGGAGGAAGGCTTATTAACAGCCTGTGATATGCAGCTAACACTGTCTTGCTGTTGAAGGCTTGAAGCACTGCTGATGAAGATCAAGGATTGTAGCCTTCAGTGTGGCCTACAACGCATGGTAAGGACCAACAGCCTCACAACTGGACCAATAGGTAACATCATGATAAATGGAAAAAAGGTCGAAGTTGTCAAGGATTTTGTTATTTGGATCCACAATCAATGCTCATGGAAGCAGCAGTCAAGAGAACAAAAGACTCAATGCACTGGGTAAGCCTCCTGCACAGGACCTCTTTTAGAGTATTGAAAAGCAAGGATGTTACTTTGAGGACTAAGGTGTGCCTGACCCAACCCATGGTACTCTCCATTGAATCACATGCATGTTAAAGTTGAACACTGAATAAAGAAGGCCAAAAAAGAATTGGTGCATGTAAATTGTGGTGCTGGAGAAAAATATTCAAAGTACCAAAGACTGCTAGAAGGACAAACCGATCTGTCTTGGAAGAAGTAATGCCAGAGTACTCCTTAGAGCAGTGGTTCTCAACCTTCCTAACGCTGCAACCCTTTAATACAGCGCCTCATGTTGTGGTGAGCCCCCAACCATGGGAAACATGTGTTTTCTGGTGGTCTTAGGGACCCCTGCAAAAGGGTCATTCGACCCCCAAAAGGGTCAAGACCCACAGGTTGAGAACCACTGCCTTAGAGGTAAGGATGGCTAGCCTTCATCTTACATACTTTAGATGTGTTGTTAGGAGAGCACAACCTTGGAGGACAGCACACGTGACAGAGTAGAGGGCAGTGAAAACACAAAGGAAGCCCTCAGGGAGACGGACGGACACAGTCACTGCACGCAGCGACAGGAACAACTGTGGGGACGGCGCAGGTTCGGCAGTGTTTCCTTCTGTGGTGCATAAGGTAGCTATGGGTTGGAACCAACTCGATGGTACCTAATAACAACACACTGAAATAAGCACAACTCTGTTTACTGATCACTTACATGTACCAGACATTGTGCTAAATGCTACCCATTAAGTCATTTAATCTCATTCCTCAATATATATATATTCTTCTTTTAGAAGGCAATAAAAATGAAGCTCAAAAGGTTATACAAATTCATCTAAAGACAAATGCTAGTATGCAGGTAAACTAACGGAGCCCAATGCTGTTTAATTCTAGAAATTGTGCTCTTAAACACTTTCTTATTTTCAAAGAAGAGTATTATTCTAATGGCAGGGTTAGTGCAAAAATATCAGTACAGAGGGCTTTTTGCTTTCTGCTATTATTCCTATAATAACAGGAATCAGATTTGGCCTCCAACCTGAAATCCTTCAAAAACTGGAAAAATATATCAAAATAATGGCTTTCAGACTGGACACAGTTGGTACAGAAGACTGCTCTCTGCGAGAAGAGGAAGGAGCAAGGCGAGCCCAACATCCACTAAGTGACCAGCTTACTTTCTGGAGTGAAGTTCCTACCGCAGCGCACTCACACGGAGCCCAGCAAACTCCGTCCACTAACAAAGTGGAGATGAGGGTCTGTAGTGGCCAGTGCAGCTGAAATTGCAGTGTGAGCTACAGGAGAGCGCTCACAGGGAGTGAGCTCCTGAAAGCTTCCTACCCTTGGGTGATCATCAGCTGAGCCATGACCAAGCTGCGTGTATCAAGACACTACCTAAATCAAGACAACCTCCTAAAAGGAATATGTGGAGCATCATCAATGCTCATGAATACACACACAGCTATTTCTGGGTCGGTTCTAATTCACAGTGAACCCCATGGACAACGGAACAAAAAATTTCCCGGTCTTGTGTCAGCTTCGTGATTAGTGACATGTTGGATCCCACCGTGGCAGGTAGATCGCCAATCCACTGTACTGACTGACTTCCCTCCATAAGGACTGGGAGGAAAACAAACAATGGAAAAATCATCAGAAATCACACAGACAATAGAATGAATGGACAAGGATAGTAAAATAGTTATTCATAATTAAAATCTAAATGTTCAAACAGGCAGTGGAAAGCAAGAGCACATTTAAGATGTGCTAAGGAGAGTAATGGGAGAGATAAAAACAACCCCCCTACATTTAAAAGGCCATCTGAACTGACAACATTACAATGTCTGAAAATGAATGAAAAATATGCCACATGTCACTCATGACATGAGTGAACTTGAAAATGTGCAATAGCAACTACTGAAATAAAACATACACATAAAATCAAAACAAAAGGACAGTTGTGGAATAACGAGAAGCAGGCAGCCTAATGAGATTTTCAATTAGAGGAACTGAGGGGAAAGAACAAAACCCACCGCCATCAAATCATTTCTGATTCCTATCCAACCCAGCCCCTGCCCAGCACCCCTATGTCGGCCTGCCTATAGGCGGTCCACTGCGATGGGGCAGACGGTTCCAATCACCAACCTTGCCATGACAGTCTGACACATACCCCACTGCCCCTCCAAGGAAAGGAAAGGCGCAGAAAACATCCGGGGAAAGAATAACTGAAATTTCCCTAAGTTTGAGGACCTCAGATCTCACACATCTAAAGGTTCCCAAGTACATGGAAGACAAAAGGAATCACACCAAGACACAGGATATAAACGCCCAAAAACAGTAGTGAGAGAACATCTTAGTAGCAGTCAGAGAAAGACAATACGTCATACTACCCAGCAAAGCAAATGCACTGCCGTGTCAGACAGGGTGGAACTGCCCCCAAGTGCTTCCAAGGCCAAACTCTTCATGGAAGAAGATGGCCACAACTTTCTCCCACAGAAAATCCAGTGGGTTCAAACCAGTGACCCTGTTAGCAGCAAGGAGACTCAGCACGGGGTCTTTGTATTACAGGAACAAAAATAAGGATGACAGCAGATTTCTTTTTTTTAAAAAGAAAGTGATAAGTCACGATTTAAAAATAATAAACAAATAACAACAAGAACTATGCCAGTCTAAGATTCTAAATCCAGTAAAACTATTGGCCCAAACTGAAGTGACCTTCAATCAACAACAGATGCCTTGGTGGTGCCATGATTCAGCACGCAGAGGTGAATGGGAAGGTCGGTAGTTTGAACAGCCATTCCATGGGGCAATGATGTGGCAGTAGGCAGTCTGGGCAGTTCTACGCTAGCCCTCTCTCTTACAAGGTTATTTACTAAGAGTTGGAATCAACCCAATGGCAATGAGTTTGGCTACTTTGTTTGTTTTCACTCAATAATATTTTAAGGATGACTCAAAGAGTCAGTAGGAATGGCAGATTTGTAAGTAAAGAAGTGCCGTGCAGGGTGAGAGGTGTTGCAGACGTTTTACCTGATTGTATTTTCAGACAACTAAAGCTGAAAGAATTCATCTCCAGCAGACAAAAAGAGGCTTCTATTTTCAAAGCAGAAACAGATTTCAAAGCAAAGGCTATTATTACTGGGGACAGAGGAAAGCTATATCATAATGATACAGGCTTCAATCCCTCAAGTGGCCATAACTATCATAAATATTTATGCACCTAGTAACAGCTTCAAATATATATGAAGCAAAAACAGAGCTCCAAGAAGAAACAGATAGAAGAGAATTAAAATTGCATATTGAGGAGCCCCAGTGGTAGTGGTTCCACATTGGGCTCCGATTCACAAGGTCGGTAGTTTGAAACCACCAAGCTACTCAGCAAGACAAAGGAAGCTTTCTATTCCGCAAGACAAAGGTGAAGCTTTCTATTCGGTAAAGAGTTAGTCTCAAAAAGCCACAGGTGCAATTCTACCCCATCCTATAGGGTTCGTCATGAGTCAGAATCAGCTTGATGGCAGTGAATTTTGAGTTTACTTAGGAGCTTACAATTAAAGCACGTTCCTGTTCAAAATCTTCCTATGTGATCCCAAATGTATAATGAAAATAAGAATCAAATGCCTGTCAGCCATCTCTGCTCTCTCTGAAGTCTTGTCCTACCACTCTCCCTTTTGCTCACTTAGCTCAGCTCAGTTGGGCCATCTCTCTGTTCTTTGGTCTACTCCTGAACTTGTTCTCATTTCTGGGCCTTGCAATTCCCTATTCCCTAAGCATCAATACTCTTCTACACATCTGCAGGGTACTGGAGTCTGCTCAAATGCTGCCTCCTGAGAGCGGCCTTTCCAGATTACCCTAAAGCCACTATCCTCCTCAACCAGCTGCCTCAATACCGGGCTTTTTATTGATAGCACTAATCTCTACTTGACATTTTACTTAAATCATTAATCTTGTTTATAATGACTTCTCCCAAGGAATGTAAACTCCATGAAGTTAAGGATCTTACTGTATCCCCAGTGTCTAAAACACTGCCCAGCACACAGGAGTTCAATAAACAATGGTAGAATGAATGAATGAACACTGAAAAGCACAAAGACGTTCAGAAGCAACAGGATAAGATCTGCTTTTTAAAAGCTTTGCTCTTGTGGTTGTGAGAATTCCGTGTAGGGATCAAGAGAGGAAATATGACTCGCAAGGACCCCGCTGGGCAAGCAAGAGCAGGTAGTTGCCAATCCAAGAACAATTAGTTCTTATGACATGGCCCTGCTCAATACCAACCCCCATGAAGTGATCACTGATGATATGGATATTGTAGTAAAGTGTGGTAAAGAGAGCAGATAATGCCCAACTATCAGAAAGAATAGCATTTGGGGTCTTTAAGGATTGTCTTAAAGCAAGCAGCCATCTAAATGGGGTGTCAAAAATGGGGTGTCAGCTAAGTCCACACAGAAAACATACACCAGGATGTGTGATCCAAGAATTGCAAATAATACATTCAAACCAAACCATGGTATTAGGGCCCAAACACTTGGTTTGCAGAAGGCTGCAGACAACAGTGAAATCCCCAAACCCACTTGCAGGGGCCCCCATTCGGATTAAGCCTTATCCCCTCTAACTATGGATCTTAGACCAGTGGTTCTCAACCTGTGGGTCGTGACCCCTTTGGGGGGGTGTCAAACGACCCTTTCACAGGGGTCGCTTAAGACATCAGAAAACACAAATATTTCACAATATATAATTACATATTGTTTTGTGATTAATCACTATGCTTTAATTATGTCCCATTAATAACAATGAAAATACATCCTGCGCATCATATATTTACATTACAATTCACAACAGTAGCAAAATTACAGTTATGAAGTAGCAACGAAAATAACTTTATGGCTGGGGTCAGCACAACATGAGGAACTGTGTTACAGGGTCATGGCACTGGGAAGGTGGAGACCCACTGGACCGGACAGAGGACACTGCAGGTGGCTGGCTGCAATTGCAGTTAGGTCAAACTGTGAACCCTTGTCACTGATCTCCCTCTAGACTCAGTATAATTTTTAAATATTTTTTGCTCTGCTATCAATTGAGATTTTTCTCAGTTTCACTGTGTCGTTATTGTTGGACTCTTTGCTTACATTCTGTCTTGATTTTGTATTAGTTTCTGTATCTGACACTGCGACTAAGCAACCATAGAGAGACAACAGAATCAATAGATTCAAAGGGACATGGCAGAGGAGGCGGCAGGAAGTGGGGAGCTGACAACGAAGAGCGCACAGCAAGAAACAATGTCCTGAAACTGCTCGTCAGGATGGTGGCACGCCTCTTACGAATGTGACTGAACTACGGAAATGTACGATGCGATTTGTCTGTGAAGTGGTTAAAAAATTTAAACACCTACTGAGTAACATCATTTTAAAAGATGGTGGCTGTTAGTATGAGGAGGGTGGATTGCGGCCAATACAAACAGTCGCACAGGTAGGAAGGACTTGGTGAACCACCGGCCCGACCCCCTGGGCGGAAGGACCCTTTCCCGACTCAACCTTTCTTTAATCCCAGGACCGTTCTTGGATTTCTCCTCCGTGCGCCTATCCACTGACGCTTGACTTAACACCACCAGCCGCACCAGACGACATTCCCCTTTGACAAACAAGTTTTAAAAAGGCATTTCCCCTAGACTCCTCCAAGGACCCCGGCAATCTTTGGAATCAAGGTCAATAATGCCGGCTGGATGAAGGTCACCCGTTTGGGAGGCGTCAGTCGGCCTGGAATTCAGAGCTCCTGTTCCTCCTTTTGGTTAATGAGGGGGGAGCAGGAGAGGGTCCACACGGCCCCCAAACCTGCCCTCGCAGCACTAGGATGAGTGAACACTGAAAAGCGTAAAGACGTTCAGAAGCAACAGGCTAAGAGCCCCGGAGCCCGTGGCGACGGGAGGGGGCCCCGGAAGGCGCCGGTGGGGAGCTAGCTCTCGCGGCGACAGCACAGGCCCCGGCAGGAACCGCACGCGCGGCGGGCACCCCCGGCCTCCCCCAGGCCGGCGCCGGCGCCCCGACGCGGCGCGCAGACTTACGCGGCACAGCCTCACGCTGGCTCGCTCTCGGCAGGCGCGAGGCCGGGGCCGCCGCGATCGAGAAGGGACGCAGCGTCCTGGGCCCCAGCTGCAGGGACCCCCACGAGAGGAGCCCGGCGGCCGCCATGCTCGCGAAGACGGCAAGCCGGAGGGCACAGCGCGGTCGGCGTCGGGGGTCAGGGGTCAGGGGGCGGGCCCAGGCCGCCTCTGCGCATGCTCGCCGGAAGCGCCCGGTCCCCAGGGAAGCGCGCGCCGCCGTAGCTTGTGTCCTGAGCTCCAGGTTCCAGGGGCGGGCAAGAGGAAAACAGAGATCAAGCAACGAAAAGACAACAGGAAGACCCCAGGAGAAGGTGGAAGCAATGACGTCAAAGACCATCTCAGATACGGGCCCCGAAGGGACGAGGCACGTGGAGGCTCATCTAGAGTAGGTGTCGTCTGGGTCCTGATCCAAGATGACCCCCAAATCCGCAGCCTCCCCCAGGATACTGGGAGTCCGTGGACTCTCTCACACTGCCACTCAGCCGATTTCGATTCCCAGAGACTCTGAATAGACTTCCAAGACTGACTGGCCATCTTTGTAGCTAAGCCTTGTCTCACTCACGGAGGGACTGCCAGTGTCCTTAATGGTTGGTGTCATCCAGTTAGTTCTGACTCGGAGAGGCCCGCGTGCCACGGAACAGTACTTGGTCTGCACCATTCTCACCATCGTCCTCTAGAACTGTTACCAATTATTTAGTTAGCTACTTTAGATATCGGCTTAGAATTACAAAATCAGAATTCATCAGGACCTCACTAATGTCATCATTGAATGAGCTCACTTATTTTCTACCCTGGAATGAATCAATATGCAGCCCTTTAAAAAATGGCCCTGGTGGTATAGTTGTTACAAGGTCAGCAGTGTGAAACTGCCTGGCAAGAGGCGCGGAAACATACAACGGCGGTTCTACCCTGTGCTACAGGGCTGCTATGAGGCCGAATCGACTCCGTGGAACTATTTTAAAGAACTATTTTAGATATTTAAATTATGGCCTTTTCGTTAGATCAGCGTTTCTCAACCTGTGGGTCATGACTCCTATGGGGATCGAACAAACCTTTCACCGGGGTTGCCTGATACATCCTGCATATCAGATATTTAAATTACGATTCATAACAGTAGCAAACTTAGTTATTGAAGTAGCAACGAAAATAATTTTATGGTTGGGGGTCGCCACAACATGAGGAACTGTATTACAGGGTTGCGGCATTAAGAAGGTTGAGAACCGCTGAGTTAGATGGATGTGGGGTTTTAAGCCAGACTCTTGCTTTGTGATCAATGGGCAAGTCCACCTAATTTCTCTGAGCTTCAGTTTCATGGAATATGCATGAGACTTACTAAAAATCACATCATTTTTAAATTGAAAAGGATCAGATTAGGGCAAAAGCTCATTCATTAAAAAATATCCAGCTGTCATGTTCAAATGATCCAACATATTGTAGAAGCAGGGCTGGGTTCCGGGGAATGCAACCTAACCTTAAAAGGCCCCTCTGTGTAGTTGGATGGTTTACTAGTGCCATCTTGAAATTCTTAATCATGAAAAAAAATAATCTTACATTTTCCTATTGTAGTGGGCAGTCCAAATTATGAAGGCGGTCCTAGATAAAGCAATTTCAAATGTTAGGGTCTTTTAGAATGCGGTTTTACTAAATTTAAAACCTGGTTTAATTGAATGACTTTTTGTCAGAACTACTTTTCATCAAAATTAACTTCATTATAAAAAGTAGAATTCTACGTGCACACGAAATATAGTGGACAGACAATATTCACGTATCTAGGTAGGAGGATAGTGTTGGTGTAGTGGTTACTCAGTGGGCTGTGATCCGAATGGTTGGTAGTTCAAAACCCTTCGCAGTTCCATTGGAAAAAGACTCGCTTTTCTACTGCAGTAAACAGTCATCGTTTGGGACTCAGGGGGTCACTATGAATCCGCACTGACTTGATGGCAGTGAATTTGGTGTTGGAGTACACGGATAGATTTTGCAACCTGTCTGTCAAAATGACTGACCCATCAAGATTTTGCAACCTGTCTGTCAAAATGACTGACCCATCAGCTGCCTGCAAGTGGATTCCCACTCACAGCAGCCCTGTGTGACTGCTCTGTGTAGCGATACTAAGTCTTACTGCTCCACAGGATGTTCAGTGGCTGTTTTTTTAAAAATGTAAATCACCCAGCCTTTTTTCTGAGCTGCCCCAGGGGTGGATTCCAACCACCAGGCTTTCGGTTTGCTACCTGCGTTAACCTTTTGCACCACCAGTAACTTCAGGCAGGCAATACAGGGAACTATTTAGGATTATAAATCTCAAGCTTGTTGGAACATCAGTGTCCCTTCAGAAGATTAAAATAAAAACAAAGGGATAAACAAAGACAAACATTTCTGTTCTTGTATTTTTAAAGAATTATTATTTAAGGAATTTGGAAGTGCCGCTTTCTAGTTGTGGTGTGTTCACATACTCCCATCCCATCCGCAACTGTTGTAAGCTTTACCTTCAACTAGACTCCAGGTCTTACTTCTTCATGACCCTTCCCCCTGCAGCCCTTTCCTCTCACTGGGATTACAAGCATAGCAGCCCCTCCCTCCTCCCTATTATCCACTCTCCTCTCCATCAGCAATGCTTTAAAGTGTAGTCAGATCATAGCATTTCTCTCCCAATACCACTCAGAATAAATTCCAGACTTTCATCTGGCTTACAACAGCCTGCCTCATCGATTTTCTGGCTACTTCTCTGTTCTCTCAAGAAAAAGATGAGGCTTTCTGCTCCTATAAAGATTTGGGCTTGGAAACCCACAGGGGCCATTCTACTTTGTCCTATTGAGTCGCTGTGACTCAGAATCTGCTCAATGACAGTGGATGAGCTAGTTCTCTGATCCCCAGAAGCCCTGGTGGTGCTGCGAGTTACATGCTGGGCTGCTAACTGCAAGGTTAGCCATTCAAACCCGCCAGCTGCTCCTCCGGAGAGAGGTGAGGAGACCTGTTAGTCTCGTAAACTTGGGGTTGCTTTGCCTCTGAACGGACTCAATGGCAGTGGGTCTGCGGTGTTTTGGGTCTCGACTGCAGAGCAGAGTGATCTGTCCCGCTCTCCCTGGCTCATCTGCTCCATCCACACAAGCTCCACCACCCCCTTCTTTTCCTTCGCCTAAGTCATACTTGCTCTGCTGCTATTTCAGCCTTTCCACTTGCAGTTCCTTCGGCCCAGCACGCTCTCCAGATAACTGTGCCCATGCTATCTCTTGTCATTCAGGTCTGGTCATTTGCCTCCTCCCAGGCCTGCCTTAACCACCCAAGATAAACCGGCACCGCCATCACTCTCCAGTCCTTACCTAGACTGCATGTTTCCTTATGGCACTCCTGAAATTAAAAAAAAAAAAAAAAAAGATATACATGCATTTTTGTACCAATGCTTGTTTATCCATTCTTCCACGGACGGGCATTTAGACTGTTTCCGTCTTCCTGACTACTGAGAATAGTGCCGTGATGAGCAAGGGTGTGCATCGATCTGCTCGTGTTCTGCTCCGTATTTCGTCAGGGCAGATTCCCAGTGGAGAGATTGTGAGTCCCTATGGTATTTCTGCTCCTATTTGTTTGAGGAAGTGCCAGATTGCTTCCCACAGTGGTGGTACAGTTTCACAGTGGAAACTTATACGTACAATGGACTGCTATGCATCGCTAAAAAATAATGGATTCACACACCACATGACATGAATGGATTTGGAAGGCATTATGCAGACGGAATCAATCAGATAAAAACAAACGTTCTATGAGACGACTGCTATTCAAGGAGAGATCTTCCTACCCAACGACATGAACTTTGAAGTTTGGACATGGGGTGGAGGGAGGGAAAGGAAGGGCAAGCAAACAGAAACGTAGCTCCGCCCTGTTGGCGAGGTGGGGAAACAGGCACGCTCACCACTGTGGGACTGGACATCTGTGCAGGAGAGAGCAGGTTATTCCTAATGAAGCTACAAGTAGCCTGCCTTTCCACCCAGCCATCCTAGTTCTTGACAAAGACATTTTTAATATGCATACTTCTATTTGTTTATTGCCTGTCTCCTGCCATTAGAATAGAAACACCCTGAGAGTAAAGACCGGATTTTGCAATAAAACCTACAAACCAGTGTGAGGTGGAAACCTGTGAAAGAAGGAAAACTTATTTCCCTCTGAAAAGAGCAAGGGAAAATTGGTAAGACGGCATCCCGACCCCGGCAGACAACAAAAAAGCACCAACTATCCGTTCTGGCTCTCAGAAATTTCACTGTACTTGGCACTTATGTGTGGATGTATATAACTTCTCTTTGCATTTTTGAGCCTTTGTGGGGAGTGGCGGAGGTGGACACACACACACACACACACACACACACACACACACCACTGACCCGATGACTCGAAATGACAATGCTGTTTGACTCTGTTCCCTTGGAGGTCGTTTTAACAAGAACAGCACTGTCTCCAACTGGAGTAACAGCAGAGCACCAGGCAGGGAAGTGGAGTAGACAGCCCCAGGGTTAATAGTGCCTCACAGAGCCTATAGACCTTTTAGCATCTTTGTAAGTGAAGGGTCTTTGTGGTCTCAGCAATTCCAGGAGTATAGAGCCAATGAAATAGCTTTCTTTACTTTAGAATACAGTGGGCTTTATAAGTTGGTAGACCTTCGCTTATGTTTATTATAAGCCACTGACTAGCATTAAGACCTCGGGCAAGTCGTTTAACCTCTTTGACTTGAACCACACAAAGAAACATCTACCTTGTGGAGGTGACATGGATCAAGCATAAGTAAAGCATGTACCATGACACACGAGTCCAATCCATGGTGAGTCCCCTTTCTCCTATTATATGCCCTGGCCCTGGGATAAGGAACGATTTAATCATTGCTACCTGTGAATACATTTCCATTAATGTAAACCACAAACAGATACTACTATTACTATGAGGAATTGCCACCTAAACTATAGGTAAAGTTAACACTCAAGCAAATGCCAGAGATTCCCACCAAGATAACCTCTCTTTCTGCAGAGCACACAGGCCTGAGGCTTTGAGTAAGAACAGATTTTACAGGGACTTCAGGGTCAAGTTATGCTTAAGGATCCTGATTTAAAACTGGTCTTCATATAACTGTAACTGAATGTAACCTTACTTTCTCCATCTTCCACCTCTAGAAATAAACATTTCACCTTTGAATGTTAGACAGATGATTTCAAACAAGACACTTTTTTTCCCCCAGTCCACACTTGTCAAAGTTGTTTATTATCTCTTCCATGTTTATTAATGAGTGAATGAACAAGGCAACTAAAGGCTAACATTTCCCTGAAATACAGTAAGGTTCCTTTTCCCTTTCTTTCGTTTAATTATTCTCTCTTCAACATCATGACACTTATCCTTTATCCCAGGAAGCAAAGTAATGGGGTGGGGAGGGGTCCTGTCCTGGAATGAAGCAAGCAGATAGGCTTGTTCAATAGAATTAAAAAAAAATTTTTTTCATCTTATAGCCCAGTCAGTCTCATGAGAGATCCAAGTCAGAGGATATTAATGTAAACTTTGCCCGCCTCTCTGAGCCCGTCTTTCTTACTCAGACAGCTTCCAAGCAGCTCTCTGATGGAGACACAATGTTCCGTTTCCAGCACAAATCGTACCACCTCTTCCCTTCCCGGCAGGCGGCTCTTCGCTGCCTCGCTTTTGACAGCGTCCAGGACAACTCCTCTGATGTCTTTAGGCTTCCCCGGCACGCCAAAGATGATCAAGAGGCCAAGGCAATCCTCTCCTATCAAGGTACAGAATTCCTCCAGCTGATCGAATCGACTCTTCTTCGTGGCAGACTCTCCCTTTGCTCTCGATACCAAACTGGGGAGGTCACAAGGCTTAGATTCCGCGAGAGGAAGAGCAGACATCTGCAGCGTCTGCACTGCCAGCTGAAGCCTTATCTGTTTGTCAGGACCCCAAAAGGTCCAGATCCAGTCTGCCCCAAACAGGGAGGCTTGGTGCTTCGTCATCTTGGTAGTGGTAAGCCATTCATCAACTCCCTTTCCTTTGCAGAAAGTGATGAAGTGGATTAGGAAGATTTCATTCAGCGTGTTTGGAGCTGGGCAGAGCTTACTCAGGGGGTCTTCAAAGCCAAGATACTCCTTTAGCTTCTGAGCTGCATAAATTGTAGCGCGGTCGAACACCTCCGAAACATTGAGAACTTCTTGGCTGTCTGTCAGAGGTAATTGGTGAGACGTATTTTGCCCCATTTTCTCTGTACTCGATCAATATTGTTCCCAAATATCTCAATGTGAACCTCGTTCAGATGACTTCTTAGCACGACTGTCAATACTGACGGTCCCAGTTCCCCCAGCCTAAAGCTTATCTGGCTTACCAGAGCATATCTACCTACAGCTCCTAAGGACACAGCCTCCTGTTTGCCAACAGGGTGTGTTCCGGTCAGACTGGTTTTTAAGTTAGGGTTACCAGCTTTCACACAAAACACCTGTTCTTCTCTATGTCACAGTCACTCTTATTACACAGGTAGTCCCTGACTTACTATGTATTTGAGTTTCTATAAACTGTCCTTATGACCACCAGGGTGCTTTTTAAGTGATTTTTATATTTTAAAATATATGTATAATTTAAAATGTCTGTAAGTTTATATGTAACATTTCCCACCCCCATAGACAAAGAGCCACTTTATAAAGATACTGGTAATAAAAAGCATAATAATGTGGAAAAAACGAGACATTCGACTACATCAGAACCAATTTATGGTGTCATTGAAACAGAACCCTAGCATAAGCCAGGAAGTACCTATAACTGGTGATCTCTTTCAGCATATGGTTCCTGTTTCCAAATCCCACTTAAAAAAAAGTTATTTCTTTAAAGACCTGTATGCCTCTTTCTCCAATCGCTTTTCTCAATACGGAAGGGGGGTCTTTTTTGCCTTCGCTGTGTCCTCTCTGTCCCGATCTGTCATTTCCTCCAACTCCATCGCCTTTGCTTCCTTTCACACAAACATTTCTTAAGCAAAGGATTCAGATTTCCATGTGTTCATATATGCTGTGCTATCTACTCAAATTCATGGGAGCTGGGGAATCGTAAATAGGTTGTGTCTATGTTCTCTGTATCAGAAATAAAGCCTGGCAGTTTTTCTAAACAACCAAACATTAAGTAATGGGCAATAAAAATGAGGCAATTTTAAGTTGACTTTATTTCCTTTTATATGGTAATACCAGCAGGGTATAATATTTTGTAAATAAAATATATCATCAAAAATTTTTTAACCTTATCACACATTATGTTACATTGTCCTGAATAAAGAATATTTGGCATTTATAACAGTCTCCTGATGTTTTTAACCAGGTTCCAATAACAAATTGGGCTTTTGAGATAGTGACATATATTCACATTAAAATCAAACACAAATACAGTAAACCTCCAATGCTGCTGCTGTTAGTTACCGCTGAACTGATTCCAAACGATGGCCGCCTCCATGCGCAGACTGGAATTGCACGCTGTCCTCCTCAAGGCTGTAACCTTTCTGAAGCAAATCACCAGCCCCCTTTTCCAAAGCCAACAGGTATTAGCATCCAGTCATGTTTGCTATCCATAAATATGAGGGAGCTGCAAAAAGTGTGTGGAAGAATTCCAGCATATTTCATCCCTTCTGTTCCCCACAAACTTCTTGGGAGTTCCCCAGTCGGAAATAGTATTCTGAGCTCTTTGTCAAATAGATTTGTAATTTGGTAACAACTTCAAGGAACCATACATTAACCCTCAAATATAATTTATAACCAAGTCCAGGGGCTTTTTATTGAATGACCCAGCCCCACCCAATTTGTGAAAACCTGTTTTATCCAGTTGGCTACCGTGAGTAATTATGTAGTATTGAATAAAAAAGCCTTGTTTTTCTAGTATCTCTAAAAGTAATAAACATGGTAAGAGTTTTTGCTACAGGTTTTTACTTTCTTTATGAAGCATATTTGGGCCCTGAACTATGGGCAAACATAAACCATATTTTATTATCACAGAATAGCCATTATAAAACTTCTTTGCAGACTTGTGTAGCTACTCAGCTTTCACTGGGCCAGAATGTCCCCGTGAGCCACCTGCATTCCGTTCAGCTCTGACGGCCCCATTCATTGACCATCTGAGAGGGTGACAATGGACACACGTCTCAGGCAGCTGTTAGCAATTTGATGGAATGATGTAGTTCACAAAAAGGAGATCAATAAGCTTACTACTGTAACGATTTTCTATTTGTTTTTACTTTCCTTCCTTAGAAATTGGTTCTAGGAATTCTTTTGGGACCTATGAACGCATTTTAGTTTACAGCATTTGATTGTCCCGTGAATTCTTCCTTCTGAGGTACAAGGATCCAAGATTAATGCTGAAACAAAAACAATTCAGTAATTCCCATGTGTCATCAAAGGGAGTATTTCATATACGCTGTTAGTGTGAATGACCAACATTATGACTATTCAGTGGTAGAGGGGAAAGGGGAAACTAAAAGGCAGTCTTGACCACTCCAGGAGCCAGCTGGTGGAGGAAAAGGTGATCACTGTTTCAATGAGATCTTCTCACTCTCTTCCTTATGTCGCAAAATAAAATTCCTATAGTCTATGCACGGTTTATATACACATATTTAGAAAAATATATAAAAATAAGACAGTAAGAGGCATACGGCGGCATGGCTGGCATTTGCTGGGCACCCAGAATACTGACGGGAAATGGATTCCCGAGAGCACACACACGGGTCCTGCCTAGCCGGCTGCTGCCAACACTGCTGTGACCACAGCCTTCACGGCCTGGCTGCTACTCCCCAAGCCTCCCAGGCGATGAAGGAGAGTGGAAACGCTATGGTAAAAGACTCCTTTTAACGGCCACACTTTAAATAGAGCACAGATTTTTTTTTTTAACATTAAATAGAGAAAGAAAAACCAGAACAATAGTACTCTCATTCACCAGTGTCTCCGTTTTCATGGCAACTTGAGAATAGGTATGCTCCCCCCGCTTTGCAGTTCCACTTCGAAATGAGCAGTTGAAACTACAAGTGATAGACCGTCCGCTGTTTGCTGCATAGACTGTGTGGGTTGGAGAAATAACAGGAGAACCCAGTAGAGACTCAAGACTCCCCGTGCTCCTCAAGGGCTGCAGTCACACGTTTGAGTCTTCATCCGTAATGCTGGCACTGGGGGAACGGGCAGCAAAGTCCTTAAACATGTCATCTTCCTTTAACATGTGCTGGAAGACAAGGAGGCAAGGAGTCACACACGCTGTGGGCCAAGAATGCAGGACAATGTATTTCCCTAAATGCATGCAGTCCTTGGGGATTTATTTTAAAATGACGTAAAGACGTAGTCTTAGGTCTCTCGTGCGGCTGAGGCAGATAACGGGGG